CAGGAGCTGCAGGATTTGCAGGATCTCCAGGATCTGCAGCACAGGGTCAGTCCCTCCCTCCCTCCCCAGGCTCTCCTCACCTTTGGCCAGGCGTTCCAGCCTCTTGCCGTGCTCGGGGGGGATGGCATACCTGGGGGACAGAGAACCAAAACATCGATTTAATGTCAAAACAGTGAAATAAAGGAAAAGGACAGCAACAACAACAACAAAGCCCGAGCACAGCACACAATGCTGGCAATAAAACCACAGTTCTGTGTGCCTGAAAGGCATCAGTAACACACAGTCCATGGGAAAATGCAGCTTTTAATACAAATCCTTAGACATGTTACACGAAGTGTGTTATTTCCCTGATGTTTTCTCACACAGCATCACAAGATTTCAGGAGGCAGAAGGAAAATTGAGAAGACAAAGTGATGACACAGCACTGGAAACCCCAGAAATAAGTGAGTGCAGGGAACAGCAGGTGTGCTCTCCATGGGGGAAATATCTGCAAAATAAAAACTGCTGGGTATTAATAAGTAAGAAATTGATGGGCTGAAAAGGTGTGAAGGAGGGTCTGTGTGCTTTGGAAAAGAAACCTTCTTCTGTATAAACAGCTTTCACTTTATTCAAAAAAGTAAATATTCTTCAAAACAGCTTAAGCAGTCATGGCAGAATCCTTATGTCCATGCTGGATTTTATTGTCTGATAAAAATTAAATAATGGAATTAAAGCATTCAATAATTTTCTTGATGAGGTGACCCTGAAAATCAGCAGGGTCTGCTGATGAAAACATCATTAAAGGATGTAAGGAACAACTTCTACACTTCCTAAAAACACTTTTCTTAGATTAGGTCTCAATAAAGTGCAAAAGAACTTGACTGGAATTTTTTTTTTTTTAAGTGAGTTATTTTTTTAATTATTGAAGATTATTCTGGTAAAACAATCAACTGTCCCACAGGTCTCAGACAGGGCTGGGTGTGCCCAGCAAGTACAAACAGCAGGGAAGTTTCAAATGGATTTTTTCTTCCCAAAAGCTGTGAGTTCTCTGAGTGCTTGGAGGTTCACAACATTCTCAGGAGCAAAGCTCAGGTGACAAAAAGATTTATGTGTTCAGTTTATAAGAAGGGAACTGAATACCAGGATCCATTTAAATGTGTTTAACATGATGACACACAATAATATTGCCAATGGAAATTTGTAAATCATTGGTTACATTCCGTAGCAAATTAAATATGGCTCTCCCTGCTTTTTGTGACAGAGAATTCTGAGAATTTACATTTGTGGGAATGGCATTTATTGCCAGCTATAACTTCTCTTCAAAGTGAATAATAAAAAATGCATTATTTTTGCTATTTCCAATAAAGATGTCAAACCCATCCCTCTCATTCCCCGTGCTGGGAAAGGGATTTTGCAGGAGGGGACTCAACAAAAGCACTGCCCCTCTAGGGCTGGGGGCAGTGAAATCCCCTGATTTGGGGAATTTCAGCCAAATTCTGCATTTCCCAGTGGAAAACCACGACTGGGGAGGAGCCCCAACCTGGAAAATCAAACCCACCTGAGCTGGCCTGGCAGGGGAGACAGCACACAAATCACATAAATCACAAAAATCACACAAATCACATAAATCACACAAATCACACAAATCACAAAATCACACAGGGGGCTTCAGGGTTTAGGCACTAAGCTGATTTCAACTGATGGCTTAAAAAAAAAAAAAATAAAAATATTAAGGCAAAACACTATGTAGCACCTAATCTTGTAAAATAATAAATGCAGCAATGGACTCCCAACATCCCCTGACCAAAGTTTGACAGTGCCTTAAATTGCATAATTATCAAACAATTCAATTTCATTTGTCTGGGACAAAGCTGGTGGCTTTTATTTTACAAAGACCATTCATCACTTACATAAATGTGATAAAACTAATCCCGATCCAAAGCTCCTTTGTGGGATTAATGTCCCTTAAAACAGGGAAATGAGACATTCCATTCCTTCTGGGAAAAATGCTGAAGGATTGGGAAAGAACTAATTTATGGCTACAAGGCTGCTGATGATTAATGTAATATCCCCAGTCTACAATGCAACCTTCACTTAATTAGTGCCTGTAATTGGGAGTTGTAAAGATAAGATTAATTGAATCTTGAGGATGTTAAAAGTTTAATACATTGGAACATGGTTATTGTGTTATCTGAAACTGCAGCCTGCAAAAAACCAAGAGAGGCTTTAGAGAACAGCCCATGGAGAGACAAAGAAAAAAAAAAAAAAAAAAGACTTGCTTGGATAGAAACCAGGCAGAGAGGAGGAATTTCCAGCTTATAAAAAAGAACTATATGTAATTATACACAAATCAAAATAGCCCAGCACAGAATGGTAATAGCTGACTCCAATTTTAGAAATTAACTTTTTTCTTTGGGCCACTCTTTAGGAAGCAGAGCCTACACATCCCTCTGCATTTATTCTAAGGAATTCAAAATATTAACTGCAGAAGAGAATTAAAAGTAGGTCAAATTCTGCTTTAAGTTATGCTCACAAATCTGACTGATTTACATAAAGATAAGCAATAAAGACAGAATTTGGGCTGCTGTTTAAAACCAGGAAGAGAAGCAGAAAGCTCCTGCATGGATGGCACAGACTGAGCTCCAGCCACACACGAAATTATTGATTACAAGGCACAACAACAACGGGAAGATTAAAAATTGCTGCAGTCTAAAGGGTGCAGCCACGGAGCAATGAGCACCCAGCAGGGTGTGGGTGCCACTCTGGGTGCCACTGCCCCAGCCCTGGGGACAGCAGCCCTGCTTTGTCCCCATCCCCATCCCCATCCCCAGCTCAGCTCAGCTGCAAAACCCCAATTCCACAGGAAACCCCCAGGTCTGGGCATGGTAAAAAAAAATAAAAAAATAAAAAAAATAAAATAAAAATCACAATAATTTCCTTTTCTGCAGGCATGACTTCAAGAGTCCCAACCCCAGTGCTGGGAACACTGAGCTGGGTCTGCCCCCCTGGCTCAGCCTGGCCCCCAGGACAAGGAACATTGATGGTGACAGAGCCCAAAGCAGCAGCTGGGTGAGGAGAAATCAAACTCCAAGGGCTGGGCTTGCAGAGCAGCCTGCAGTCTGTATTGCCCAGGGGGACCAAGACAAAGGGCCAGGCTTCACCCAAAAGCTGCCACTCAGCACTTTGGGGATTAGAGCAGGAAAAAATGTGCTGCTGCTGTGCCAGGGAGCACGAGATTTACACAAAGGGGAAAGAAAAAGCAGCTCAAGATAAGAGAAGTTATAGTTCTGTGACTCAAATGTCATCTTACCCCCAAGTCAACAACCTGAAAGTAATATACTGAGCCTTTTAAATTACCTTTTTCTACTTTCCACCAAAACAACAGAAAATCCCTGAAGTGGATCAAGTACCACTTGTACACATCTAGAACTTGCTGTTCTGTGGGAAAGACTCTCAGCTTCCAAAGTTATTTCACAAAACCTAATCCCAGCATTTCTGATCTCTACTTCCACATAATTTTCTGACTTCTTGAGTCAGGATCACAGGCCCAAAAGGTTTTGCTCCAAAGCTATAAATGTGTTAGGAAATCATTTTCCTGGAGTGGTGGCTTGCTTGTGTTAAGATGGAATCATGGAATCCCAAAATGGTTTGGATTGGAAGAGATCTTCAATATCCATTTCCACCCCTGCCATGGCAGGGACACCTCCCATTGTCCCAGGGTGTCCCAATGGGCACTGCCAGGGATCCAGGGGCAGCCACAGCTGCTCTGGGCTCCTGTGCCAGCCTGGAATTCCTTCCCAACACGAGTTTAACTGGCCAGTCCCCTCTCCATCCTTAACATAAAACAGAGGTCTGTCCTATTTCCATCATAGGATATCATTAATAGAGTAATTTTCTTGGTGTTTTGTTTATTCCCCTGGAATGGGGCTTGATGGATGTGGATAATTATCAGACTATAAAAGCCAGCAAATGTGCTATTTTCTATCGCTCTAAATCATCAAACAAATAAAGTGTGAAACAGCATTTCTGAATACAATTTTCCCCTCTAATGGCTTAGAATTATTATCAGGAACAATGAGAATAAATAAGCAAATGTCTTGTGAATTAAGAATTAAACAAGTGTGTCAGTAAAAAGGAGCACTGAGGCCATCCTGGGATGCAGGGACCCCTGTGGAGGCCACCAAGGATTGCTGGAACAGGGAATTCACTGGGGCAGCTTCCAGCCCCTGCTGCTCCTCAGGGACCTGCCAGTCCCAGGTGCTTCCTCAAAGAGAGTCAGCTCAGTTTTGGCTTCCAGTGGCCAAAAAAACCCTAAAACTTCACCCACAGCAAAGGACTCATAGCTGTTTCCTCCTTGTTTTCTCACCTGAAACCATCCCTGGTTTTGGCAGGGTCCCTTCACCCAACATCCCCAAAGCTTCCAAGACCTGTTCCTGTTCCTGCTGTCCTCCCAGAGTTTTTGACAGCTCCACCTGTTGCACACCTCAGTGACACTCTTGCACCAACACAGAGCAATTAGGCAGTGATTAATTCACAAATCCCACAGCCATGGGCTCCGTGGGCAGCTTCAACCACCAGACTTTGGAAATGTCACTTCAGTGCCATTGCTGGGAGAAGGTAAGAAACTCAATTTCACAGTGTCTGCACAAGGTCTGCCCAAGCAGGCCCCACACACTTTAACACACCATAATTATGGAATAAGGAACACAAACACAACGGGAGCAACACATTTAAAATGCCCAAGCCAAAGTGTCACACTGGGGTGAGTTATCTGTCTTCAAAGCAGATTTAATTGTGCCAAGAACAGTGACCCTTTAAGATTCAAATGCCAACCTGCTCTCAGCCACGACAGGCAGGATGAAAAGCTGCTATTTCAGTGTCTGCAAGGCAAGGGGTGCCCATAAACCCAAAATCTGAACCCTGACCTTCAACATCTTTAGCCCCCACGACAGCAGCAAAGCCTCCAAAGAAAAACCCCTTGGTCCATCAGGAATATTTATCACCCAACAGAACCAGGGTTGTCCCTTCCCTGCAAAGTTCAGATCCTGCTCCTGAAGCCTCATTTTTCTACAAGGTAAAACATTAAACATCTCCTCTCTGTGTCAGAGCAGAGCCCAGGGTACAAGTGGGGGTTTCTGTGCTAGAATCTCC